CCCAGCTACTTGGGAGGCTGAGGCAGGAGAATCGCTTGAACCTGGGAGGCAGAGGTTGCAGTGAGCCAAGATCGTGCCACTGCACTCCAGCCTGGGCGCCAGAGCAAGACTCCGTCTCAAAAACAAAAACAAAAACAAAAACAAAAACAAAAAAACCTTACCAGAGTACCTGTTTCCTTCTAAGGGTATAGATGAGTGAATCAGGTAAAACAAAACATTGAAATCTCAACCTTACCTAAGATACAAAGGAGGCCGGCTGTGGTGGCTCACACCTGTAATCCTAGCACTCTGGGAAGCCAAGGCAGGCAGAGAGCTTGTACTCAGGAATTTGACGCCAGCCTGGGCAACATGAGACCAGAACCACAAAAATCAGCCAGGTGTGGTGGTGCATGCCTGTGGTCCCAGCTACTCTGGAGGCTAAGATGGAAGGATTGTTGGAGCCCAGGAAGTCGAGGCTACATTAAGCCATGATCGCATCACTGCACTCCAGCCTGTGTCAGAGCAAGACCATCTCAAAACGAAACAAAAACACATTTTAAAAAAAGGCAAAGGCAACAAGAACACTTTCCATCTACTAGTTCTATCCGGCTACATACTAAATCTTCTGCTTGTAAAAGGCCAATGCCTCAACCCTCACCATCTTTCAAATCCCCCTCATTGCCTAAGATCACTCCTTCGCCTCCTGCAATTTGGCCTCAACCGCCCACAAAAACATGGCCAATAAATTAAAATTTCTTGAGCATCTGGCCGGGTGCGATGGCTCATGCCTGTAATCCCAACACTTTGGGAGGCCGAGGCAGGTGGATCACCTGAGGTCAGGAGTTCGACACCAGCCTGGCCAACATGGTGAAATCCCATCTCTACTACAATTACAAAAATTAGCAGTGCATGGTGGTGCATGCCTGTAATCCCAGCTACTTGGGAGGCTGAGGCACAAGAATCGCTTGAACCCAGGAGGGGGACGTTGTAGTGAGCCAAAATCATGCCACTGCACTCCAACCTGGGCAACAGAGTGACACTCTGTCTTTAAAAAAAAAAAAAAAAAAAAAAATTGTTGAGCATCGGTATTTGCTTACTAGCTTCATTTAGTGTCATTTAATCCTCACAAAAATGGCTCCATTCAGCATTTCACAGGTATACACATGTAAAATCTCAAGCTACATACTTTAAGATTTACACCAGGCGTGGTGGCTCATGCCTGTAATCCCAGCATTTTGGGAGGCCGAATCACGACATCAGGAGATCGGGACCATCCTGGCTAAGATGGTGAAACCCCATCTCTACTAAACATACAAAAAATTAGCTGGGCGTGGTGCCTGGCGCCTGTAGTCCTAGCTACTCGGGAGGCTGAGGCAGGAAAATGGCGTGAACCTGGGAGGCGGAGCTTGTAGTGAGCCAAGATCCCGCCACTGCACTCCAGCCTGGGCGACAGAGCGATACTCCGTCTCAAAAAAAAAAAAAAAAAAATTGCATACTTGGCTGCATATAAGTTATACCTTACTAATGTTGCTCTCTTCTTTCACTCTAAATGTACCTGCTCCCACAATTTCAGACTTCAACCTAGTTCACATCTGCCTCCAAACAGTCTCCTTGGAAGTCTTAATTTTTGCTGTTTCAAACCTTAAATTCTTTTCTCTAGTCTCAGTCTCTTTTCAGAGCTCTTGGCGTAACTTGCGCATTGATGTCTGAAATTTAACAGATCCAGAATCACATGTAGCAATCTCTCCACTCTGCATCAAGCTCCTCCTTTTGCTGACTCCTGTATGAATAGCACCACCACTCAAATCTCAAGATGGCCTTCCCAGAGTTCTCATTTCCCCTCATCAAATTAGTTATCAACAAACCTCAATAATGTGATTCTCAAAATTCATCCCTTTCCATTCCTATGGCTACTACCCTAATTCAAAATCCCCATTAAGTTATAACTACACTGTGCCTAAGTTTTATCCCTACCTCCAGTGTCTCCAGGTTCCAATATTCACTGTCTCTCCTGTTCACTGCTTTACCTTCAGTGCCTGGCATGTTTGTTATACAGTAGGTGTTCGATAAATTTTTGTAGCATGAAGACCATCACAGCATTTATCTCACCCTCATAGATAACTGTGAACCTATGTTCCTTCCTTTGCTCCTCCCATGACATGAGGAACAGAGACCATTTTTACTCATTTTGCAGTGAGGAGGAAAGCACTGGCCCACATGGGACCAAACCTAAGAACCACAGCCTACCAACTATACATTAAACGTATGTGCCATTTTAGTTTATTTCACATTTCTACTTCTTAAAAACTGGGCAGGGGGGTTTTATAAAAGGTCTCAAAGTATTAGAACTTCACCAAAACTGATTTTAATTACAATCCCTTACATGGCTCTAGGAGAGAAGATATCTGAATTTTTTTTTTTCTTGAGACAGAGTCTTGCTCTGTCACCCAGTCTGGAGTACAGTGGTGCGATCTTGGCTCAGTGCAAGCTCCGCCTCCCAGGTTCATGCCATTCTCCTGCCTCAGCCTCCCGAGTAGCTGGGACTACAGGCACCTGCCACCACGCCCAGCTAATTTTTTGTATTTTTACTAGAGACGGGGTTTCACCGTGTTAGCCAGGATGGTCTCAGTATCCTGACCTCATGATCCGCCTGCCTGGGCCTCTCAAAGTGCTGGGATTACAGGCATGAGCCACCACGCCTGGCCAGACATCTGAATTTCAAGCTAATATTAATCCGATTTCCCTGACACTGCAGTCTGGACTGGCTATACTGGAAGTGACCCAGATCTAGAACCTCTTTATCCAGCAACTAGTTCTAGTATTATGGTGCTTCTAACACAAGCAGGATTTGTTTTACTCAGCTGTTTAATCAGAATGCCTACAAATTTACAAAGCAAATGTTTTAATGTCCAAGGCTAATACACCACTGCAAGGGAAGAACAGGTAGGGAAGGAAAGGAGCACTAAGAGAGGAACACACCATAAGAGGGCTTGGCTACTGCATAGCACATCCTCAAGACTATCTCAGTGACCACTTTTAAACATCATTAAAACCTGTTTTGGAAAGGTACACAATTTGATCCATCCCCACAGACAACCAGTCCCCTAAGCCTAGGGTGTCAACAAGAAAATTCTATATAAACGACTTCTGGCTTTCAGCTACTTTACCAGCTAGGGCACCCAAACATATTAATGAAACTGATTTTCATGTCAGATGATTTCCAGAGAATTAACACAGTTCTCTCAGCATGTGAGAGGCCAACAAAACCATGAAACCAATACGGCACTTAATTTTCTGCTTATTAATGCAAACACATGAAACAAATACCTAATTTCAGTTCAAACTCATTTCCCTTTTATTAAAGTCCAAGTTACCATTACATGGCTTGGTACTCAATAAAGGAAAACTTGTTCAAATAAGGTAATATGTTATCATCAGTATTTCCAGGTAACTGTTCACACTCAAGTAGCAGTGTCAATAAATCCGTGGGGAAGCCCATCTGTAAGAGAAAACACAAAGAATTAGCCGGGAAAAGAATAAAGAAAAGGTAGAAATCTTTTAAAAATAACCATTAGCGCTACAACCAGGGAAATTACCGTCTCTCTGTACCCTTAACTGCTCTTACTTAATCCTGCCTACTGTCAACCCACAAGGGACTAGTTTTGTGTTTTTTTTTGTTGTTTATACCATTGGTACTTCCTTCCCAATCAGAAAAGCACTCAGTAGTTGCCATTTTTCTCTTTTTTTTTTTTTTTTGAGACGGAGTCTGGCTCTGTCGTCCAGGCTGGAGTGCAGTGGCCAGATCTCAGCTCACTGCAAGCTCCGCCTCCC